CTTCACAGCATATACAATATTGCTCTGTTTGTGCCGGGGCACCGGATCTTTGGGGTGAACCAGCCTTTGCCGTAATGTGTGTTGGGGTTTGAAAGCCACTGGGACATCATGTTTAGAAAATAAACGTCTCAGTTTCTCCGAAACACCTGGATTTTACCTGGATTGCTGAGATGCATTAGGACACCCCAACTGAATGATTTTAAATGTGAAAAGGAAGGATTTAAAAGCGTAATATGTCTACTTTAAACTATGCGCTGTAATTTCAGATGCTTTGTATTTGAAAACTAGTGTAATTTACTCTGTCCTTGATATGTCTCTTCTCTTGTACAGCACTTTGGTTGCCCTTGTGCCGTTTTAAGTGCTTTATAAATAAAAATGGCATGGTATGGTATCATCCACAGATCTTTCACCTGAATGCATTAGAAGAGCGATTCTCTCGGCTGTGGACTCAGTGTCAGCGCTGCCAGGGCTCCCTCCATGAGGATGTGCTTTGCACCAGGTACAGACGAAATACACGTGCTTTACTTTAACCACCGCTGAACGACAGTAACACTGGCTCACTCCTGTCTGCAGCCGCGACTGTCCCATCTTCTACATGAGAAAGAAGGTGCAGAAAGATCTGGATGATCAGAGCAAGCTGGTGTCTCGTTTTGGATGGTGAGACAGACAACACTGATGGATAACCTGACTCGTTTTCGGTCGCCACAGACCCATCTGATACTTGTATTTTTGCATTTTGGGCTTTGTAAAAACGCATATAACATCTTTTATACTTTCTACAATTATTAAGTGAACATGTAGTGCCTTTTTTTTGTAAAATAAAGTGAAAAAGCAATCAACTCTTTTTTGGCTCCTTTTGAGCGTCTTTTACTGATCATTCATTTGCCTATCTCTGGTCGGGTCGCAACAATTTCAGGTTCTCCATATATACTGTTTGTATCTGGTGGGCACTGGCTGCCCATGCGCAAATGAGCTGACAGTACGGATCGTGCTTCCACATCGGCACTAGTCCCCTGTAGCGCTAATAATTAGCGTATTAGGACTTATGCTAATATTTTTTTAATCTATTTTTGGAATTGCACTTTCTTAGCGCTAATTAAATTGTTTCATCATAAATTGATCATTATTTCTATCAGCAAAGGGTTGGGCTGTCTTAACTCGATACAATGCAAAATTATTGTATCTAGATAGCAATCCCTCAGGTGTCAGTTTGTTCACAGAAGCTATACACTCTAGCCGACCATCCTTCTGGCTCATGTTTTCATTTGAGAGACAATTCCCACAATTTAGAGGTGTTGACGTTTCGTCAGCAGCTGCTGCCACTTTCTTCCCAAACTGCTGTGACTGGATTGTACGACGCTGCTCTGTGCGTTTGCTTATTTCCTCCTGCTTCGTTGTTTCAACAAACCGTACTGACGTCAGGTAGTTGGCTACWGCCTCGTCTTCAAGTTTTTAATTTCTGTCTGTATTTTGAAGAGGCACTTATAAGATCAAAGTAAATCACCCGAGTTTTTCTAGTGACCCCTTAAAGAGGTAAGCTGACATGAAGAACATTATTTTATCTGCCTTTGTTATAAATGATAATGATTTGAAACGTTGAAGTATTGTTTTTTTTTTCACTTCGGAATAGCGCATGTTAGCAAAGTGTGTTGACCCTCATCTTCGTCACTTGACACATTTCACATGCTGTGATTGGTTGAGGAGCTTTGTTTACAAAACAAATATCTACGTTTTTTTTATTGTTTTCATTTCCTTGCTTCCTAAGACACATCAAGTTGCTGTTGCAGTTTGCTGAGATGAGCCTTGTAATATTTTTTTATACCTCTTCTGCTACGTTTGCATTGGATATTATAAATTTTTATTAGTTTTTAGGATACAGGATGCTTCCTAAAAATACCAGAATGTGAATCTTTTCCTAAAATTTCCTAAAGAAAACATGAGCTGATTTCACCTAAACAAACACCCATAACTTCCTTCATACTTAAGCTAATCACATGAATTTGGTGTTATTTTGTAGGGTTTGTAATGTTCTTTTTGAATCCGCTGTCATTTTGCTGTGGGATAAAAAAAAAAAAATCCACATCCCTACACAAATCTTTGTGCTTACTGGGCGACGCTCTCAGTCTCAGAAAAATAATGTTTATAATCCATACTAAGATTTTTTATGGTCTGTACTTTTTGATCATTCGATTTTCTTTTAAAAAGGAATAATGAAAAATGAAAAACATATTCATTTTTCATTTTAAAAACCATTGTTGGAAAAATGGATGGTTTTTCTTTTTTAGTCTTATGGGCTACTCAAAAAACCTACGAAGCCCATCCGGTGACATGGGATAAAAAATGTATAACAGCACAGGTCATGTCCAACCCTTAATGACCACATAATTATTGCRAGGCAACAATAAAGCATGGCCAGTAGGCTAATGGACTCATTTTGAGCAGCCTTGTTGTGAGAGACAGGTGTGATGAGTCAGATTATAGTTTGAATTGATTTGTTTTTAAGTGCTTAAATGTATTATTAGTTTTTTTATTATCAATTTTTTATTATTTGGTGTATGTCAATATAAACGGATTATCTTTCATCATGGTAGGCTATTTATGAAATAATGAAGGATTTTTACTGTGTTTCTACACAACATAAACTGATTCAATCTGCAGCCAAGGAGCCTGTTTGGTAATCTGAGCTACAATACAATACAATACAATACAAAAGAAAACAATCAGTCTGTGGTGGACAGACAGATTGTTGACCTGTTTGTCCACAACATGCTGCCGCTGCGTGTAGTGGATTCTCCCGCCTTTGTTGGTCTGATCAAGATGATGAACCCCAGCAAGACCTCTATGTCCCGCCGCACCCTGGGCAGGAGGATCCTGGCCAGCCACGAACAGCTGGAAGAGTATCTCACAAGGTATTTATTTTATACAAGTCATTAATTCTTTAGTATTCTGTTCTTCATATTTTACAATATGAATATATATATGTATAATATATATAATATATAAAAATTTAATAATGCATTATTTTTATATGCAGATTGCTTGAGAACATCCCCTGGATTGGGACCACTGTGGACTGCTGGTCTGTCCACAACAAGTCCTACCTGGGGATGACTGCACATCGGCTGGACCCTGAGACCCGTACAAGACGGCACGCTGTCCTGGCCTGTTCTCAAATCAAACGACATCTCACCTGTGATGTTTTCGCTTAGGTCATGATAGACACCCATCGTAAATTCAATTTCCGGGACAAGGTGACCAGGACTATGACAGACAATGGCAAAAACTTTGTGAAGACGTTTGTACAGTTTGGTACAGAGTCTGAACCCTTGCAAGGCTGCTGTTGATTCAGATGAGGAGGAGGTCRTGGATGTAGATCCTGAGGCTGGGCGTGTGCATGACGTGGAGTGCATCTCTGTTGATGCCATGCTCGATGAGCCCGGTGGCCTGGGCCTCAAACTGCCAGCACACCTGAAGTGCGCCGCTCATACATTCAATTTAGTAGCAAGCGTGGATGCTAAAAAGGCTCTTGAAAGTGCTTCGTTCAAGTCGGCCTACAGGAAGTTCATGTCCAAGGCACAGGGCTTGTGGAAGCTGCAGAGCTGCGGCACAGTGGCAAAACGCAAGATGTCTGATGTGCTGAAGAGGAGGCTGGTTGTTCCCAACAGTAACAGATGGAACTCCATTTATGACGCTGTTCTTGTTCTCAACAAACTCCTTGAGGAAGATAGGGCCACTGTCCACAGGGTTATGAAACAGCTGAAGCTGCAGACATTCACTGAATCAGATGTCCGCTTCCTGAAAGAGTATACCCAGGTGATGTCTAGTGTAGTGAAGGCCTTGGGTAAAATCCAGGGGGAGGACCAGGCGTACATCGGTTGTCTTCTGTCAACAGTAGCGGCTACCATGATGAGGTTGAAGGAAGCCAAGTTAAAACCTCTCCTATACTGCAGTCCTCTGATAGACGCAATACTGGCAGGCCTTACTGAAAGGTTTGGGCTCCTCCTCGAGGACCAGGAGTCTCAGCTGGCTGCTGCCTTCCACCCCAAGTTCCGCCTGTTCTGGCTGGAGCAATTTGATAACAGGCAGGTTAGCAGAGTGACGAAGGCCATGGTGTCTGTCGTACAGACGGCCCTGGGGTCAATCGGTGATGAGGGCAGGAATGAGGAGGAGGAAGATGATTTCTTCAGCATCATCACTCGGCCCAAAGAAAGCAGGAGCAAGAGGTCACTGAAGTCCAGAGCACAGAGCTTGGTGCAGACCTGGCTGGAGACTAGCTCAAAAGATGTAATGACCGACGCTGCCTTTTTGGGTGAGCGGATATTGATTGACTTGTTCACCAAATATAAACACACCCATCCCCTCCAGTGCTGCAGGTGAGCGCCTGTTCTCTATAGGCAAAGACGTTTTGAGGACAAAGAGAGCCGGCCTATCTGACACTAATTTGGAGGTGCAAATGTTTYTGAAAGGCAACCAGCATCACATCGAGGCAATGAGCAAGACAGTCAGAGTAGACAGTAAACATGTAGTTAAAGGGGTAATAAACAGGGATTAGTTACTTAAACTTTTAAGTGACTAAAAAAGGTTCTGTATTTTTTTTCTATTTTTATACCCTAATAGACCTTTTGTTTATTATTTGAGTAAAACGGTTTTCTCTCATTTTTGTTTGCCCAAGATTTTTGAGTTATGTTTTGAATAACACAGTTTGTGGCTGTAACTGTTTAATTTCTTTTTGTTCATCCAAGATTTTTTTATGTACCAAATAAAGTTACTGAAAAAAGGTTCTTTCTTGTTCATTTTACTGAATTGCATGTTGGCATGTTATTTTTGGAAATTAAGTATAAAACAAAAAAGCTGTTATTTGTGAGCATCACAGCAGATGAAATTTCTCAGGAACCAAACGTCTTTATAGTATTTTTAATTTGATAGTTACCAGAGTTGTAAAGTCACTAAGTACAAATACTTTGTTACTAAAGTAGAATTTTTGGGTATCTACTTTACTTGAGTATTTTCAGCCTACTTTTTACTTCTACTTCTTACATTTTCACACAATTATCTGTACTTTCTACTTCTTACATTTTTAAAAAAGGCAAGAAGTAGAAAGTTGATACTTTTATTTTATTTTGCTTGTTTTCATTCCAGCTTATTGAAAAAATAAATACTATCCATATAAATTGTGCCTCCTAGATAGTGAATTTAATTGCGGTTGAATGAGAAGTATACATATATAAAATTCTGATACTGTATTAGTTTGTACACAAAAAAAGCAGGACATGATCATTAAAATAAAAGGAGAACAGTACTTAAGTACTTGTATTTCATGAACTGTATTATTGCATTTGGCCGCAGGGTTAACATGATCAAACTTAAAGGACTCAAACTCCATTAAAGTTAACACGCTGAACACAAGACATGTTTTTATTAAGTGTGCATACAGCCTTTTATTATTACAGATGCTTGTTTTTACACTGGAAAATGCTTGCAGTGTTTCTACAAAAATAGAAAACTAACAATCCATTATGTTTAGAATGATTCGTGTTCTAAAAAGTTTCCCAAACCGTCCAGCATCACGTCCAATGGTTGTGTTAAATAGGTAATACAACAAACTAATGTGAAATAGTGGCGTAACAATGTGGACACAATGAATTATTACTGCAACAACCACCAACACTGAGTGAGATCTGCATTAAAAGCAGAATGTTAAATAAAACGTGAGAATCTGAGACCACAAGAAAACAAAAGCGGTGACGTATTAAACGTCAAGTGAAGCTTTGTGGTTAGTCAGTGCCTGATAAAAATTCCTGAGTTAAACTTTTAAAGTGGCACTAAGTAACCGTAAACTCTTTCATGAATACAGAAAAGATGAGCGTGAATCTGGACCGCAGTTCTTTTAGGCTTTGTTATACAAAAAAAAATCTTAAACTAAACTAATTTTCGGTCAGTGTTTGTAAGGACAAACATAATGCTGCTGTGTTTCATTAAAAGGACATCTAATGTTTAGAAAAGTGAACTTTTTACCTGAAGACGAAATGTCTCTACAGGAAATTTGTTCTATTACAAACAGAAACACTGAACTTGTGTGGAGGATTAAGACCCAATAAAATCTAGGGGAATTTGGACTGAGCTCATCACCTGGCCTGACCCTGCAAAGTGCAAAGTGGATGAATAAATGTAAAGAACCATCGTTCATTTAAAAGAAAAGAAAAAAAAGAAAGGGGTTTTGCCACATTTGCCACAATGTCCAGAGCAACTGGACATCTTCAGAGTAGTAAAACAAATGCTCTCAGGGATGCCGTGTCATTATGTGTGTGTGTGTGTGTGTGCTATAGTATGATGCAACGTCTCTGATTGTTCTTCTTGCTCTTCTTGTTGCTCCGGTTGGTCTCTTTATATCTCCTAATCTCCCGCACTAGAGAGTAGAACGCTTCCTCTACGCCCTGCAAGAYAGACAAGTATCAAATGTAGGTCAGGGAGGAAAGAAAGATAATAAAAAAATTAAGCCCAAAAAAAAAGAGCTAAATTCAAAAGTTTGAGGCGGTTTCTGCATTACCTGTCTGGTTTTGGCAGAAGTCTCGACAAACGGCACCCCATAGCTTCGTGCCAGCTCCTGCGCCTGCCGGGTCTCCACCGTGCGAGTGCTCAGGTCGCTCTTGTTGCCCACCAGCACCATGGGGACGTTGTCGCTGTCTTTCACCCTGTTGATCTGCTCTCTGAGGAGGAGACGGAACCAACAAGCTTTTAGAGGCTGAGGATGACCTTGTTGTTGAGCAGGTGGGCTGCAGACACTGATCTGGTTGATCCCAGCTTGTAATGTGAACTGACCAGCAGGTCAGATGGAGATTAGAGCACTGAGAAGGCAGGTTAAAATAATACAGTCGGCATTCCTGTAAGG